TGGTCTCCACTAATGGTTGGCCACCAAATGGAAGACGGATTTTTTTTGTATGTATGTATGAGAGAACTGTTATCATACGCTTGGCAGTCTCTCTGTTCTTGTTATTGGCTGCTCCATGGCCTATTAATTTTCTCCATTATAGGTGTAGTTGAAATTGAATTTGTTGATATTTTTGTCGTCTCTCAATGCAGGTTTATTTGGAGTTTGCATTAATTTATAATTTTGTCAGTGCAGGTGCATTTGTAATTGTATTAAGCAGTTATTTTGGTGTACATTTATATAAGATCAAAGATTTTAAAGGTAATTGTAGGGATTTTTCTTATTATTTACAGATTGACATATCTAGTAGTTGTTTAATTAAGACAAATTTAATTATACACCTGTAATTTAAGTGTAATATCCTGGAGGAACATTTACATTAGTTATATAATTAGGAAGAAAAATAATTACACACCTGTAATAGCATACATACATACATACATACATACATACATACATACATACATACATACAAATTAATCAATGGCTAGACTTAGGATAATTCAACCCCAATGTATTATAAGTTACTCCGTTTTGTTTATTCCAAATTACTATCATCTTCAGTATTAATTTGATTGAGTGAGTAAGGTGGCGGAGTGGTTATCATACTCATATGGCATTCTATTAGTCGCTGGTTTGAACCCCATTAAAAAAAATATCCAATGAAATAGTAAATGTAAGTAAAAATAAATGACAAATTAAATAGAATCCATAAATCATTTTTTTTGTGCTAATCTTCGCCAAAGTCACATAACAAACACATGGTTACCTGTGTGACATTTGTAATTGTAAAAGTATCTAGATAAGTCACGCAGATCCTTTTCAATATATAGATTAACGAGTGACAGCTAACTGGTTTTATAAACTGGTCGAATATAATAGTGTATAAAATGTTTTGGTCTTCACTTGATATACACTTATACACACTCACACACCTAAACACACTTTATACACACACACACCTAAACATACACACACACACACACACACACACACACACACACACACACACACACACACACACACACACACACACGTGCAACCTGATCACTGTTGGTTAATACAGGTTTAACTTCTGTTGCAAACCTCCCATGCTCACTGTAATCTGAGAGCCAATTGCATATGTACGTAACTTTCCAATAGATACCGGATAATAGTAAGCGTTTTATCAGTGCAGTATAGCCAAGCTGGTTTACTGTTTTTGTTAAGGTTTGGTTAGATTTGGTTCGATTTGGTTTGGTTAGGTTATGTTAGGTCAACTTTAGGCCAGGTTATATTTGGTTAGAGAGGGAGAAGTAATTTGCTAAACCCTTCTATATCAGAGCAGTGGTAATGGCGCTCCCTTCCTCGCTGCAACTATTAATAGGAAAATGAGAGGCATTGGTGGTGGTAGGTTCTCCGAGGAGGGGGGAAGGGGGGAAGGAGGTGGAGGAGCAGGAAGGGGGAAGAATGGGTAAGGAGGAGAAGGAAGAGGAAGGAGGAAAAAAGTGGGGAGGAGCAGGAAGGAGGAAGGAAGAGGAGGAAAAAGAAAAGGAAGAGGGGGTAGGAGGAGAAGGATAGGAAGGGGAAAGGGAAGGAAGAAAAGGAGGAAGAGGTATAGAGATAATGGTCGAGGAACAGAGAGGACCTTCCTGGCGGTGGTGTTGGTGTTAAGGGCGTTGGAGCGTGGTTGAGATCACTCGCTCTTACGTCCTTCTCCTTCCACACACACACACACACACACACACACACACACACACACACACACACACGCGTACGTTACCCTGGGCAGCAATTAAAAAGAATACAATCAACTATCTGGCTTTTTAATACCAGCTTTTTAAAATTTATGAGTGACTTTTTTTTTATTACCTTCAATATTCTTCCTTTACGGTGATTTAGATTAGCATTGGGGCCCATTAGGACTGGGATAAATAGATCTTGGGGCCCATTTAACCAATCATGGGGTCGGGAGAGCCAGATTTATCCTGTTTATTGTGAGTCTCGTGTGGTCTTCTTCAGTAAGGTCCTAAACCATTATTTACCTGGGACCTCTGCGTCGTCGATCCTCACCCATATTACACCTTCAGGAGGAACACTGGGAGGCTTGTCTAATGTCTCGTACTGTACATCTATAGGGTGTTGAGAGCCCCCCCGGCAGTGTGTGTGTGTGTGTGTGTGGTATAAACAAAGGGTTTAAATCACCTTAAAATAAAGTTGAGCATCACATAAACTTCTGAATTCGACCTCAAGAAAATGAACTTCTTTAAAAGCAAAAAAATTTCGCTGAGAATAATTTTGTTTTTCAACGCAAAGAAAAAAGAAAAGAAAAGGGTGGTTCTCGTGATCACGGGGACACACGCCAGCCTCCCCTTCTCTCTACGGGAATCACCAAGAAGAAACAGTTTTAAGAATTGAAAACACCTTAAAAATACTCCCAAAGTACTTTCAATCCTTTTTTATCTTCTAGAGAAACTTTCCCAAACAAATGATCCCAAACTTTCTGACGCTTTCCCCTCTCTCTATTTTTTTTCTTCTTTTCTTCATCTCGGGATTTAAGGACTTTTTCTAGGTCATAATCTCACGAGGTCATTTTTTTTTTGTGATCGTTCTTTACATAGACTCACCTGTGGAAGCCTTGTCATACAGGTAGATGATGAAAGAGGATTTATGTGTCTTAGTCTCACCCCACTACACTAGTCAACAGGGACGATTAGTATAAAGGTCGCCACTCTCGGAATAAACTTACACTCACCACTACACGACCTCAGTTTATAAAGCACAATGAGAGGATGATTATGGGACTAATAAGTACAAGGGTTTGTATTGTTCGTGGGAGGGTAATAACCATTGTTTATCACTATGGTAAGTCACTCCTCAGCATCATAACACACACTCACTCACCTGAAAATCTAAGTAAACATTTTCCTGCACTGTTTATTCTATGTTTACTCTCACCATTGTTATTATCTCAGTGTATTTATACCCTTGTGTACTGGATCCCCTCTGAGCTGAATACAATCGTCAAGTGTTAGCCTAATAATATATTAAAAATTACGTCCCAGTAGTGAAAGAGCTAAACAATATATAACGAGGCTTGACCTGCTAATTAGTGAACCATCATTATCTGTAAATACCTGTAGATACCTTTCAAACAAGATTAATTCACAAACCAGTTTACCTTTAAAATGAAGACTTTTTACCTACGTTAACTCGCCTCATTACCACTTTACCTGACCTAGCTGATTATATTATCTCCGAGTGAGGGATAAATTCTCAGGTGTAACTTAACCAATGAATGATACTAGGTCATCCTCAAACACTTGACCTTTAACCTAGTAATCTCCTCCTTGACCTAATCCTTACCAAGTCGTGAGAGGCCTTGAAGGATAAACTCCAAGGATCCAATGTGAAAGTTTTGAAAGTAATAACTCAAAGTATTTTAAAAGTAAGAGCATGAAGACTCCTGAATGATGGTACATATTTTTACCCTGTGGAGTTAAGAGTTTTACTTTGATTAATCTCCAGGTGTGATGAAGGCAGGTGTGAGGAAGGCAGGTGTGACAGCCTCTGGTGCTGGATGATGGATTAATAGGATAATGGTTTAACACTATTAGGATGATGGTTTAACACTATTAGGATGATGGTTTAACACTATTAGGATTTTGGTTTAACGCCATTAGGATGATGGTTTAACACTATTAGGATGATGGCTTAAAACTATTAGGATGATGGTTTAACACTATTAGAATTTTGGTTTAACACCATTAGGATGATGGTTTAACACTATTAGGATGATGGTTTAACACTATTAGGATGATGGTTTGACATTATTAGGATTATGGTTTAACACTATTAGGATGATGGTTTAACACTATTAGGATGATGGTTTAACACTATGAGGATGATGGTTTAACACTTAGGATTTTGGTTTAACACTATTAGGATTATGGTTTAACACTTTTAGGATGATGGTTTAACACTATTATGATGATGGTTTAGCACTATTAGGATGATGGTTTAACACTATTAGGATGATGGTTTAACACTATTAGGATGATGGTTTAACACTATTAGGATGATGGTTCAGCACTATTAGGATGATGGTTTAACACTATTAGGATGATGGTTTAACACTATTAGGATTATGGTTTTAACACTATTAGGATTATGGTTTAACACTTTTAGGATGATGGTTTAACACTATTATGATGATGGTTTAGCACTATTAGGATGATGGTTTAACACTATTAGGATGATGGTTTAACACTATTAGGATGATGGTTTAACACTATTAGGATGATGGTTCAGCACTATTAGGATGATGGTTTAACACTATTAGGATGATGGTTTAACACTATTAGAATGATGGTTTAACACTTAGGATTTTGGTTTAACACTATTAGGATGATGGTTTAACACTTTTCATATGATTAATTCACTCCTTAAACCATCGTCTTGAAAGTGTTGATTGATATTTAGAGTAAATAGTAATACAGATACACACACACACACACACACACACACACACACACACACACACACAGGTAAACATACACATACACAGGTAAACATACACACAGTTAGCACACATACACACCTAACCAATTTATAGACCGTCAAATGCAAAATTTTAATTCGTATATATTACCAAAAATTTTGCAAAGTTTGAGCTGAATCTCATCTGTTTAAGGAGAGAATCACAGTTTGTATGACATTCCTGACTTATGAACTTTTAAACCTGAAAAAAAAATTGTGTTGAGTAAATTGAATTGGATTTGTGTGTTTCAACGTGTGATCGAAAACTCCCTGTGCACCTGTAATAGTGAATGATATTAATACCCCTTTGATATAAGTAAAACAGGTGCACAGGAACTTTTTGATCACCCTGTCCCCTTAGCGTGGAGAAGTTTAACCACTACACAAGAGAAAAAAAAAAAAGACAAAATATAGAGTTTTAGTAAGACATGAGATGAACTTACCTGAGATGTCAACACCTGTCCTGATGAGTCTCACAGGTGTTTCCAATCCACCGTATTGTAAGTGTTTCTAGTTCACAGTTTCACAGGTGTTGTCAGTACACTATATCACAGGTGTATTCAGTGCACTGTATCACAGGTGTTGTCAGTATATAGTATAACAGATGTTGGTAGTTCACAATATTATTTAAATACCACGTTAATGAACAGGTTATATGACAACAGACACATGCCACTGTTGTCCTTCTAATCTGTTGTTTTCTGTTTATTTTACAGACAAACAGAAAACAGGGACTATAAAACTCCACTTAGAACAGACAACAGAATCCACAGCGCCACCAAATGTTGACAACTTTTAAGGTAAATAACTTCTGTTTCCTTATTCTTTCGTTAACAATAATTCTGGTATTGTTATTCCCTCGTGTTTGGGAAGTCAAATCAATAATGTTTTCCTGTACGGGGGTCAGCGGTAAGGGACGCCCGTGTTAGCGGTCAGTAAGTGGGGTGATGGTAGCGGCGGCGGCGGTAGAGGGAATTCTGTCAGGACCCACACACAGAAAACGTGTTTGGAAGCCCGTGGCGGCAGCGGCTGACAGACTGACTCCACGAGCCAGGCTAGACCTCCTCCTCCCTTCTCCTCCTCCCACCTCTTCCTCCTCCTCCTCCTCACTCCAACTCCCTCTCTCCGCCTCCCTCCTTTTCCTCCCTCCTCCTCCTTATCTTCCCACACACACACACACACACACACACACACACACACACACACACACACACACACACACACACACACACACACACACACACACACACACACACACACACACACACACACACACACACACACTTGTATCTCCCTTTCTTACTCACTCTTTCCCTCCCACTGTCTCTTCCGCCTACAGTAGATAGAGAGGGAAGGGAGAAGGAAGGGAAGGCAGGTGGAATGGAGAGAGGAGGGAGTAGAGAGAGAAGAATGAAGAGATATGATGGACGGTTATATAGAGGATGAATAAAGAACAACAAAAATAATTATAACAAAAGTCAAAATAACAACAATGACAACAAACAGAAAAAGACGAAAAAATTATGCCTGTGTATAGCTGTGTGTGTGTGTGTGTGTGTGTGTGTGTGTGTGTGTGTGTGTGTGTGTGTGTGTGTGTGTGTGTGTGTGTGTGTGTGTGTGTGTTTGTGTGTGTGTGTGTGTGTGTGTGTGTGTGTGTGTGTGTGTGTGTGTGTGTGTGTGTGTGTTGTGTGTGTGTGTGAAGAACAAAGCCTATGGCATCTATGTATGATTTTTTCCCTCCTTCCCTCCTCCCTCCTCCTCGCCCCCTCTCTCCTCCTCCCTCCCTCCCTCCCTCCCTCCCTCCCTCCCTCCCTCCCTCCCTCCCTCCCTCCCTCCCTCCTCCCTCCCTCCCTCCCTCCCTCCCTCCCTCCCTCCTCAGGCACCAGACCCGAATTAGTGAGGAAACTTTTCCACGTAACCCCACCAACTGTCATACGTCTTAGGTTAACGGCTGCATGAGAATCAGTGTGTGTGTGTGTGTGTGTGTGTGTGTGTGTGTGTGTGTAGGTAAGTCCATCAATGCCGGAAAATACGATCTTTGAGGGGGTATTTTCTGGGCATTTCTGGCCAGTGACAAATTTGGGGATTGTATATATTTCTCTGCCCCCAAATATTAAGTCTTTAGGAGGATAATTCTGCTTATTTCTGTGTTGCTACGACCCCTGGAGTGTTGCTACGACCCCTGGAGTGTTGCTACGACTTCTGGAGTGGTGCTACGACCTCTGAAGTGTTTCTACAGCACCTGGAGTGTTGCTACGATCCGTGGAGTGTTGTTACGACTTCTGAAGTGTTTCTACGACCCACTGGAGTGTTTCTACGACCCCTGGAGTGTTGCTACAACCCCTGGAGTGTTGCTACGACTTTTGGAGTGTTTTTGTGACATCTGGAGTGTTACTACGACCCCGGGAGAGTTGCTTCGACCTCTGAAGTGTTTCTACGACCCAAGAAGTGTTGCTACGACTCCTGGAGTGTTGCTATGACCTCTGGAGTGTTGCTACGACGCACTGGAGTGTTTCTACAACCCCTGGAGAGCTGCTACGACCCACTGGAGTGTTGCATGACTCCTGAGAGGTTGTTGCTGACTCCTGAGTGTTGCTCCGACTCCTGGAGTGTTGCTATGACCTCTGGAGTGTTGCTACGACGCACTGGAGTGTTTCTACAACCCCTGGAGAGCTGCTACGACCCACTGGAGTGTTGATACGACCCTTGGAGCGTAAGCAACAGTCGCTTGTGTCAAACGACCCCCTCCCTAGTAAATCCTGGTTGTTAAGTGACGGAATAAAAACGCATATTGGTTCTATAATTTTTCATCACTCACGACTGAGCAGACACTCGAACCTTGTGCTCCTCGAGCTGACGCTGACCCCAACACACAGGCACGTCCTCCTCTACTCTAACATTTTAATTACGGCTCCGAAAAAGTTAATAGTTTACTCTTTAACAAAATGACTTACAGAAAACGTTTATATTACTCCCTTAACAGAAATATTGATTCGTTAACTGGTTGTGGCATGTTTGACTTGAATTAATTATATACCGTAAAGGATGTTATTCAGTTTTATATTACGTCACTGACTGGGTTAGGTTAGGTTAGGTTTTGGTTTTAAAGGTTCTGACCTGAGGTTAATACAGTAATACTATATATTATATTGTTTCTGCAGAGACAAGGTACAGGCATTGTCTGCTATGTAACCTCAGCAGTTTTGTCTGGGTGAAGACTCAATTCAGACAGTGTTTATTTTTCCCTCGCTGGTAGACGTACCCTTGACCGCCCGAGTGCCTGGTCTCAAGTTTTATTTGGCACCGTCGACCGTGATGCCCGGCGCTGCTCATAATCTACCCAAGTTCTCGTACTGTAAATTTATGCATGCAGTTTTAATTTCAGTCGTCCCATCAAATAAGTTTAGTATAGATTAATTTATTGATTATGAGTTAAATAGACTTAGGTGATGGTTGGTGGTATTTGTAATATATAATAAGTGTTACATAAGCTAATCTTTCACGCAATTTAATTTCCTCCATAACCCGTACCACGAGCATTAGGCAGTTGCCAGACGTAAAATTCAAACAAAACAGCAGCAACACTCCAGAAAAGAACACCGAGTTTGACCTACACGTACTAGAGAGTTAAGTCACTCAGTATAAAATAATGTTATTGCACCTCAGAAAGCCTTTACTGCCACTGAAGAAAGAGCCAATCGTGCTCCACTCCTGGGCTGGCGGTGGCAAGAAGTGTAATGCCTCCAGTCTCTTTACCGTCACAAAAATAAATTCAATCAATATCCACACACACACACACACACACACACACACACACACACACACACACACACACACACACACACACACACACACATACACACACATACAAAACCACTCACATAATTCACTTAACTTTTAGTCTTTAAAATTCAGGGTTGTTGACCGGGTATAATTTTTTGGTGTTGATTAAATATCGTAAATGGATTAGTGTCTTGAGCTGTGATACAAATTTGATCATTGTTTTTGTGTTTGTCAAGAGTAGCGACGGTGACTGAATTTTACTGGTGGAGGAAGAGTTTATTTTACGATAATTTTAGAGTTATGTTCCTCAAACCTGACTTGACAATCAAACTTAACCTAACCTAACCTAACCTAACCTAACCTAACCTAACCTAACCTAACCTAACCTAACCTAACCTAACCCAACCTAACCTAACCTAACCTAACCTAACCTGATCAAAGACATTCAATACACTGCCACAGTACACGATCTTAATCAGACTCCAATATACTCTATTGGGCCCCAGTCTTAATAGGCCCCAGTTCTTGTCAGTTGTAATGGGCCCAAGGTCTAATGGATGTAGGAGCCTTACCTCACCCTTAAGACTGGGAGAGACTCGGGGTGGGGTGAGGAGAGGCGTGGGAGGAGGGGGGGGGGGAGGCGAGACACAGCTGGGGGTCTAAAACTCTACGGGCGCCACACATAACATTTCACTTACTTGTGTTAAGGTAAGATATACGGCAGAGTAAGTTAGTGAGGAAACTTTTGTGTCTCTCTCATTCTCTCTTTTTTGTCTCTCTTTCTTCTTCTTCTCTCGTGTTCTCTCTCTTTCTTTCATTCTTTGTCTCTTTCATATTAATGCATATATTTCCTCAGCCTTAAATGCGCTTGTTCTAACCTGTCTGATAGATCTTCTTCGTGTTGTTAGTAGGGATGTTTTGTGTTGAGAGAGAGAGAGAGAGAGAGAACTACCCCACCCCCCCCTCTCTCTCTCTCACACACACACACACACGCTAACTCACTCTGCCGTATTTCTCACCTTAACACAAGTAAGTGAAATGTTATGTGTGGTGTCCGTAGAGTTTTAACCCACCGCTGTTTGTCCCTTAACCTCGATTCTCTCCCCCCCCTTCCCTTCCCCTTAGTCTCCACCAGTTTTTAAGGGTGAGGTAAGGTTCCTACGTCCATTACAACTCGGTCCGATTACATGAGAAAGGCATTAGTCTGTGTTAGAGTCTATTAGGAATGGGTAAAGATTAGGTTAGATGTCTCCATTAGAATTTGGTCCTTATCCTATTATATTCTAACTTAACCTAACCTAAATCTTATCGAACCTAACCTAACCTAACCTAACCTAACGAAACACTAACCAAATCTAACCTTTTTAAAGAGAAAAATAAAAGAGAACAAAAAAACAACACGAAATAAAAAAGATAAAAAAAAAATATTGTTTAAATAATACAATTGTATGAGACAAGAGTATAAAACATGTTTCTTTTAGTGTGTGTAAACTTAGCGGAGTTTTGAGTTTGGTCTCACATGCCCGGGAGGAGGAAGAGGAAGGGAAAGAGGAGGAGGAGAGGTGGAAGGTAGAGGAGGAAGAGGAGAGATGGAAGGAAAAGGAGAAGAGGGAGGAGATGGGAGGTAGAAGATGAGGAGAAGAGATGGAAGGTAGAGGAGAAGAGGGTGGGAGGAGGAGGAGGAGGAGGAGAAGGAGGAGGAAACATGAAAGGGAAGGAGGGGGGGAAAGGGAGGAGGGAAGATGGAAAGAGGAGAAGAGGTGGGAGGAGTAGGAGAAAAGGTGGGAAAAGAAGACAAATAATAACAAGGAGAAGGAGGAAGAAGGGGAAAAAGAAGGTGTTGGAGGAAGAAGAACAAGGAAGAGGAGGAGGAGGAGGAGGAAGAGCAAGGTGACCCAAGGCTCAGTGTCTCACCCACAAACACACCAAGACGCTAAGATTTATAACACTTACAAATTACCCAGAAAACTTGTGTCCAGGTTCCAAACTTTTGCTATAATAATTTATGTCTTCTAGTCAATGGTTGTCTCTGTTTGGTGTTTACGTCTTATGGCAAAGGTGGTGGTTTTATTTTATTATTGTTTTTGGTTTGAGTTTGTGTATAGATTTCTATTTTTACTTAATATTATTTTTCCCTCGCCCCTCCCTTACCTCCCTTTCTTTCCCCCCTTCCTCCTTTCCCCCCTTACACCCTTTCCCCCTCACCCCTCCCTCTCCTTCTCTCTCCCTCGTACACAC